GTCACCAAAGCCTAATAAAGCGAGAGTATAGCTTCGAATTGCACATTCAACCTCAGTAGGACTCGACAAGTCTTCCTTGCCTTGTCACAGTCAGTGTTTATTGAACTATAGGGGGCCTGTCATCTTAATTCTAATTTCATTCCGTATCACATACATCTCTTTCAGACATTGAAGTCAGCATTGGAGAATGGAGACTGGTAGAAAGATACTGGGAAAGTGGGTTGAGTTTGTTCATGTGGGGATGTTAGTGAAGAGGATACGATGGTGGTTGGTGAGCTCAACCAACACCGGTGAAACAAGGTGTTGGTAGGTGAACGAGAAGGTGATTATGAGGCTAATTCATATAGCGTTTTTATATGTTCTACTTCCTTATCTGGTGTGTAATCCATTAGAGACCAGGCGTGCCGTCTTTCACCTTTTTGTTGCCCTCTGCAGCCCTTTCCTTTCTCCTCTTTCTGCATTGTTGATTTTGTACAAATTGAACTCTTGACAGAAGAAAACCTTCGTATAAACACAGGGTGTTGCTGTAAGTTGTAACTCCTCTCCATTATTTAACTAGAATCTTGTCCATTTCTTAACAAAATCTGGGTCTCCAAGGTAGGCAAAAGTGTGGAAGTTTCTTTTATCCATTATCAATAAGGTCCCTAGGAAGGGAAAATGACCTATGTAGAAAAGGGAAAAGAACCAAGGAATAAAGAAGAGAAGGAAAGAATTAGTACGTTTCCTTTATTAAAAGAAATCCTTTTTATAATTTTTGTGAGTTTTGGCTATGACTTGCAACGAAAGTGTGTAAGGGTGATTTTAAAATCTATAAAAGTTATGGGGCTAAATATTATATATCAAATAGTTTGTCTTGAAATGAAAATCATTTCCATTTGCCCAATACATTTTTAAAATTTTCTATTTTCTAATGAACGTGAAAAGGAAAACTATTTTTGGGGGAAGGAAAAGAAAAATGGAAAATGAAAAAAAAAAAAAATTATCTTGCAAAACAAATACTTAGTACTCTCCGTTTTCCTATGAGGTCATTTTGATGGAAGATTGAATTACAGTGTCCCACTTCAAATTCATATCAAAATCACAAGAAGATGATATCTTGATGGGTAACAGCATCACCTTCTTCTTGCGGTTGAAGAAACCATCACCTGGGATGTGCGGTGATTTCTTGAAAAGCATCCAGGGCTAGTTTCCTTCGATTAGAAAAAAGATAAAGGAATAAACTTTTCTATGAGCATGCATTGTCATAGCTCATAGGATGCAAAACGCAAAGTGGCAGCGGAAATTTCACCCATCTTTTCTAAAAAAAAAAAAAACCTCTACTATAATTTTCACCCATTTTATTATTTGACAACATTATTCCATTATCTCATTGTTGTCAAAGAGGGATTTTAAAAGAAATTCAGGATACCATTTGCTCCTTGTGTGATGAATGTTCTGAAGACAACAGCCATTTGTTTTGCACTGTAAAGTCTCCTCACAAGTATGGTCATGTTGTTATAAATGGTGGAATGTGAAAACTGTAACAGCTAACAATATGTGGGAGGCTTTCAAACAACATGATGGGTTGATGAGTATCGGAAAAATGAAGGCTGGATGGGAATCAGTGTGGTTTGCAGTAGTATGAACTATCTGGAATGCTAGAAATGAAAGAGTTTTCAATAACAAATCAATAGAAGTTGGGAGTATTTTTGACTCCATTCAAATGAAGACTTGCCAATGGCTAAGGAATAGAGAGAAGGAATGGAGATTTTCTATGTCTGATTGGATTTTAAATCTAAAGGCCTCTATATGTAATAATTAATCAAATAGAGGTAACTCTTGATTTTAGTTTCTATTGGTGGTTGAATTATTTTGATTGTAAATGGGTTCGAGTACTTCTTGTACTCAATTAATAAATTTGCTTTTCAAAAAAAAAAAATTATCTCATTGTTGTCTAGGAAAATATTAGCCTTAACATGCACGGAAACTTATTTAGAGTCAATTTAACCATAAATATTACATATAAAAAAAAAATCTCATAACTTAATTACCTATATTCATCATTGTAATATTTTAAAATTGTTATTAGTGCTGTAAATGGTACTTTTGTCTTTAGGTTATAGTGCCATGATAAAGAGATTTAGTTGTAGTATCTTTAATTTAAATTTTCATAAAATATCTATACATTTCATAAAAAAAGTCGCATAAACATGGTTATTTGAGATGTTTCCCTTTGGTTTGGACGGTTTGAAATGACTTTTTGGAAGGTACTTGGAAAGGCATCCGGTGCTAGTT